ACACAGTGCTGAGAACAAGAGGGGAAGAGGGAGGAGGAAAGGAAGGAAAGAGAAAGGCTACCCGTGTGTGTAAATAGCCACCGCCAGGTATTGAATGAAAGGCCAGAGAGGAGCAGGCAACAGAGTTAAGCTCTTGTGGTCTTCCGGGTACTGTGCATGGTGTCGGGTGAGTTGTAAGACCCCCATATTCTAGCCTGAGCCTGAGAGCCCTGTGAGGGCAGGTGACTGCCCCCCTCCCCGCATTCCGGAGCACAGCAGGGGTCGCATCCAGCTCTGCAGGTGCCAGCCCAGCTTTTGCTCTGCTCCAAGATGCCTCTGAACCCTGGTGGAGGGTAACCTGGCTCCTGAGTGTGACCCAAAACACATCCTCTGCCCCCAAGTGGAGCCAACCAAGGGGCTCCAATTGGGCCAGATTTGTCTAATGAGGTCCTAGGAGGCCCTGAGGTCAGCACTCACACCCTAAAGATCAGACACATTTGTCCCCACATTCATCACGATCCTCCCCTCTCTGAGCTCTAGCCGAGGAGCAGAAATCACATGCCCAGGTCAGGGAGGGAAGGAGGGAGGGAAGAAGGAAGGGAAGAAGGGAGGGAGGGAAGGAAGGAAGGAGGGAGACTCCTCCCACTGCACTCCTGTAACATTTGTCCAATTTTTTCTTGGGAGGGTAGGGATTTGTGCAGAATCTGTTGGTTGGTGTAGCAGGGATCCAAGAATCTTCAGCCAGGCTGTGGTCTCCAAATGCCATTCCCAGGCACTGGCCCAGGGAAAGAGCTTGGTTCCAGGTCCCTGTGACCTCCTTGGAGACCTGTCCCTGGTCACACTTTCCCTTCTGTCTCCACCCAGATCCCTAGGATGACCTGCAACTGTTGGACGCACTCTAGCACTTGTGCTAGTGGACGGTTGTGTTTGGAGGCTGGAGGTCCAACTTCCGGGGCCTTCCCATCACTCACCAACTACAGAAACACAGGCACCTGCATTTGGAGAACAAGCACCTTTGCAGGCGGGGGCCCGCTTGTCTCTGACTCCAGTGTGGAACACCGTGGGAACAGGAGGGAGATGCAGCCTTAGGACTGGGTGGTCCCGCTGCCTCCAGCTGGGGTTTCTCAGAAAAGTCTGGGGTGGTGATGAAGAAGCCGTGTTTCCAGAACCCTCTCCTTGCAGGTTCAGGCCTCCTTCGAGTCCTGCAGGGCTCCTGGAATTGCATAATTTATTTGGCTCTGCAGGAGAGAGGACGTAGCAGTGGCCGTACCCAGACCCCTGACCTAGACACTTAGACTTGCCTGCTAAGTGTCAGAGCACAGGCCGAGTCTTACTTCCTTCTCGCCCATTTTTTTTTATTTTTTGGGTCACACTCGGCAATGCACAGGGGTTACTCTTACTCCTGGCTCATGCCCTCAGAAATTAACCCCTGGCAGTGCTCAGGTGACCATATGGGATGCTGGGAATCGAACCCGGGTCAGCTGTGTGCAAGGCAAATACCCTACCTGCTGTGCTATCGCTCCAGCCCCCTCCTCGCCCTTTGAGGGAGCCCATTGTACAGAATGTGAGGTTCACAGAAGCCAGCCTACTTGCTGAGGCTGATCTAGTGGTGTCAGCAGCTGATGTCTGTTCCGTGTTGGGGCGTGGGGTGAAGATCATGGAGGACGTAAACTGTGTGGCACATGCAGCACACACATGTGGTGACCGCATCATCACGGGATGGCTATGTGTGCAGTGCCATCTATGCTCCACCCCATAGATGAAGGGCCGGGTGCCACTCTCTCTCCTAAGAACCACCACAAATGGGGCCAAACCACAGCCCGGGCTGGGGGTGGTGGGGGTTTGATCTTGCTCTTGCTTGGGGAGATGAGAGAGCAGCGCTAAGTGGCAGAGATTTACAGGGCCCCGGGGAGAAATGCCCATCCAGAGAGGAGCTCACATGAAAAGCTCCGGAGTCAGAGCTGCCGAAAGAGCGTGCCAGGTCTGCAACAATTAAAAGGCTTGCCGAGCGCTGGTTCTTTCATTCCGGGGCCCCTCCTCCCCCCTCCACATCTGGTTGCCCCTGCAGGTTCCGCGCAGCAAACGCTCCGGGGGATAGAGGAGAAAGAACACACTTTCCCCCCCTTTTTAATTGGAGATCAAAAGTTGGAAGGAGAAGTTTTCCCTTCGGGGTGGGAGGAAAGGGTAGTTTTGAGAAGTGGGGGGTGGGGGAGGGGGTGGAGGCCCTCTGGGAGGAGGGGTTGGGGAAAAAGAAGGCGGGGACAGGGCAAGCTCCTGGTCGGCCAGGCTCTGCAGGGACTTTGCCACCTCATCACCTCATTTATCGCGCGTGTCAAGCCCGCAGCATCAGCGCAGGTGAGAGAACTAAGACGCACAGAGGTGAAGGGTGTGCTTAAGTCTCCGGCAGCGAAGTAGCATTGCCGCCCCCCCCCCCCCCAGCTGTCTGATGCCCAGGGCTGGACACCAGGCCATGAGGGCTCCGCAGAGCAAGGTTTTCAGGGGCATTTTCCTCGTCCCAGCCTTGGCTTTCCCACCTGTGCAGCGGGCACGGGCCCTGAGCTCCGCGTGCGCGCCAAGCGCCGCTGCAGATGAAAGGGAGCGCAGTGGGCGCTGCGCGGCGGGCCGCTCTGTGGTCGAGCCAGCGACGGCTGCGCCAAACGCCCTGCGCCTCCATCCAGCGGCTAATTGAGAAAGCATTAGGCAGTGTGCCCCAGGAGTGAAGAAATCCCGCTGCTTGGCTTTTTAGAGGTGCCAACCCGCACCCAGTCTGTGCGCCCCCTCCCCACGCCCCACCTGATTTCCCAGCAGATCTCCCAGCCCCCACACTCCGGGGCTCCGGCTCCGCCCCCATCGCTCCAAGGGCTGCTGGCTGGACTCATTGTCTGGAGTGTTGATGGAGCAGCTGGACCCGTCCCGCAGTCCCTGGGGGACAAAGCGGGGAGGCGCAGAGCCCAAGCTGTGCTCACCTTCCTGGACCCACAGGCGGGTGCATCCCACCTGGACGCCAGTGCCAGAGGAAAACTTTTACCCAATCAGGCAGTTCTCCTGCCTCAGTTCTAGCCGGGGGCAGCCCTGCTCTGGGGTACCGGGCAGAGTCAGGTACAGCCTGACCCCACCCCCTTCTCCTCCACAACCACAGAAACACATGGCCCAGGCTTCCTGGGGCAGGTTGGGCCAGGGGTGCCCTTGACACAGTGCTCCCTCAGAAAAGCCTGCACCTGCAGTTTTCTCTGCTGGTTTTGTTCCAGAAAATGCCTCACTGTGAGAGCTAGGCTTGGGGGCGGTCGTGTTCCAGCGGGAGTGGAAGGGTGGCGCCCCAGGTGAATTTAGGTGGTCATTTAAACCTAGCCCATCGAACAGGTAGCCGATCAAAATAGAGAACAGGATGGTGGGGGCAGGGCGGGGGGGGGGGGGAAATGGCAGTGGATAAAAGGCTCCCTCCAGCCAGGTCCCCGCCCCTCCCCTTCTCTAGCCCCTTCCAGCCTTCCGCCGGCCCTTCTCTCTCTCTCGGATGCCCAGAGAGACCGCAGTTGAGTTCAAGCTCCTGGGCCCTGGCAGAATCGGGCCAAGATCTCACATTCAGACAGACGGCCGACTGTGGAAAGCTGGCACAAGATGTCAGGACACCATAGTGTACAGTCAGGAAAGGCCCAAGACATGGTTTCAGACCAGGAAAGAGATTCGGGGACAAGACCAACTCATCAGACACTGGAGGCGAGTAGACCTGGTGGACAAAGAAGTCGTACAGGGGCCAGGGCATCCCTGGGATAGGACAAGTGACATTGTACACGGGTAAAGGAGAGGCCTGAACATTTGGGCAGGGACTGGACCCATCTAAACTGTACAACATCTCTAACCTCTAAACCTTTGGTGTTTTGTATGCAAATCTTTCTTACAACTCTCAAAACCCTACGAGCCCAGGAAAATGCACTTTGGGGTTGACATTTGTATTGGGGGAGAAGCAGGGAACTAGAGGTGGGGTGTGTGTGGGAGGGAGGGATGACAAAGGTATTAAAACAGAACCTGCCCCTGGTATGCCCCTCCCCCACCACCACACTATCGGGCTTCTTTTGGGGGGTCCTTGTCCCCAGCCCTGCCCCCCTGGGCCTACCCAGGTGACTGGGCAGGGAGTGCCCTTCTGGGAGCTGAGGGACCCCAGCAGGCAGGTCAGTGCCCCCAGAGAGCCCGGCAGCTGTTTGCTCAAGCAGGGCTACTCAGCACGCTTGAGGGGCTAGGGGCTGGTGGCCTCCAGAGGAAGTGAAGGGGTTCCCTGGGGGTGCTCTGCCTATCTCTGAGCTCCGGGATGGTGGTGTGTGAATAAAGGGGCTTCGTAAGAGTCCACAGCTCATCTGCTTCTTAGAGTCCACCTGCCAGAGCCTGTGGCCCTGTGACCTCTTCCTACCCTTTGCTCTGGTCCCGCTCCCTGCCAGTGGCCGGTCGGGACCGCGGGGGCACTTAGACCTGCCGTGAATTTCTCCACACTCCAGATCTTTTCGGTTTGTCTTTGGTCTTTGGGGGAAGCCACATTCAACAATGCTCAGGGATTACTCCTGGCTCTGTGCTCAAGGATCATTCCTGGTGGGGTTGGGGAACCATATGAGGTGCCAGGGATCAAAGCCAGGTGGGCCGCACACAGGGCCGGCACCTTACCTGCTATGTTGTCACGCTGGTCCCCACACCCCAGGCTTTACAGCCCCCCTTCTTGTACCTGCTTCTCGAGGCTCCTATCTGTGCTTCATAGTCTCAGAAGCTGGAGGAGGGGGTCTCTGCTGGCTGGGGTGTGAGGTGCCCTCTCTCTGGGTTCCCCCTAAATTCCACCTATCTGAAGGAGGAAGGTGGGTGGGACATTCTAGAAAAAGGACCTGGGAAGTGTCTGGGGACTCGGCCAGGGCTCAGACCAGCATGGCTGGCTGTCCTGCTGGCCTCTCGTTTGCCCCCTTGTCCCCCCCACGACACACCCTTGGGCTCCAGCGCCCCTGCCCCCCGCTGCCGGATGCCGCCACCCACAGCCCCACACTCACAGTGTCTCCAGACTGTGCAGGCCCTCGAAACTGTGCGTCCCCAGATGCTGGATGCGGTTGTTATGCAGATGCCTGTGTGGGAAGGAAGGGGACGTCAGAAGGGGTGCCCGCAGCCGTGGCTGGGGCGGGGTGCAGACAGTGGCTTAAGTGGGAAAGGGGAGGCAGTGCATGGACATGATGACCCCCTGGACCGTTCTCCTCCAGAGTCCAATGACTGGCGAGACGGGCTTCTGAAGCCACATGCTCCCAAGCACCGGGCGGAAGCTTTTATTTGGCTCCTGACTGAAGGAAAGTGGGAAGCACCCAGACTTCCGAGGCTCCCCCAAAGTGCTGGGATGGAAGCCTGATGTCAGAGGGGCACTAGGTTGGGGCTCCTTCTTTGGTCGGGCTCCCCGGGGCAGCCTGCCTGACTCAGTGGCCAGACACACTTCTGGGAGCCAGCAGCCAACCGCGGCAGACAACACATAATTAAGGGCGAAACTCCCTGTCAGCGCTGGCATGAGCTGGAGACAGCTGGGGATGGAACCTTGGAGGCCAGAGAGTGAGGGGGGCTTCCCGGAGGCCCCGATGCTGAGCACAGGGTGGGGAGAGTCACTGCCAGCCGAGGTACCTGCGGGGCCAAGCGGTGGGTGACATGGGGTGTCTCAGTGCCGGAGGGCGAAGGGTTTGGCTTGAGCACATCCGGGTGTGGGGAGCTGGATGTGTGTGTGGGGGGGTGTGGGGGGGAGACTTCTGAGGGGAGGAGCTAATTGAAAACAAGTGACACAATGTTCTCCCAATTTCTTGAGAAAATGAGTGAAAATAGCAGGAAAAAAATTCCCTGTCTCCACCCCAAGTATTAAAAGTAGCAACAAAGCAGGGAGGGGGACCAAGTCTCACATCCCAAAGCCGTCCAACGCTGGTGCCCGACTCAGCCCCCCTACTCCAGAAATGGAACTGGCGAGGAAGCAAAACTCTGGAGATTTGGGGGCTTATTCTGCAAGCCCATTTTCTCCCTACACCTATCTTGTCTTTATGCATCTGTGCTTGCTTGCTTTTTCGAGTCTGTGCTTTTCTCTTGAACACATGTTCCTCTCCTTAACTTCCACCACCCTGCATCTTTAATTTCATTCAATAAAAGCTCTCTTGGAGAGAGAAGAAAAGTGCCTGCCATAGAGGCAGGCGGTGGGAAGGGGGGGTAGGGAGTGATGGGAGGAAACCTGGGGACACTGGTGCTGGGAAGTGTAACTGGTGAAGGGATGGGTGTTGGAACACTGTATGACTGAAATCTAATCATGAACAGCCTTGTTATGCTCTATCTCACAGTGATTCAATAAAAACGTTAAAAAAATTTAAAGTTCTCTTGCGCCCCCCCTTCTCTACATACACACAAAGGGGCAGGGAATGGTGAAGGGGACCCAGAGGAGACCCTGCTCCTGTGCTGAGCTGTGGAGATGTCGGAAGCCCCAGGAGACTCCTTGTGTGCACAGCCCAGACCCCATTAACCTTCCAGAACTGTGGAGAGCAGAGCCCAGGGCCTCAGCAAAGATGGAAGCCATCGGGGTGGGGGGGTCTGCGGCACACTACCTCCCCGACCACACCCTCACGGTAGGTCGAACTTCACTGACCCCCAAGTTCTGCTCAGGGGAAAGACAAACAGGGACCTGAGTTGTTGCACCGAGATCAAGGGAACAGAGGAAAATAAAAGTTGAGGAGATAGTTCAGGGGGCAGGATGCTTTGCATGCTTAGGGACCTGAATTTAGTCTCTAGCACCACTGGGTATAGGCCTGGTGGTCGCTGGCACTGCTGGGCTCAAATGGCAGACTTGCCTGGTCTGATGGGCTACGTATGGTCAGGAGTGGGCCTGACCCCTTGAACACTGCTTGGGAGCCTCTTATTTCCAAAATAAGAAAACAAGAACACAAATCATAGGGCAATTGTGAAAACATACAACAGAGAACAGTAGGGAGAGAAGAGAGGATATAAAAGACAAAGTTCCAATGGGGCCAGAGTGATAGTACAGCAGGCAGAGCGCTTGCCTTACACGCGGCAGGCCCAGGTTCTATCCCAGGCATCCCATATGGTCCCCCGGGGCCCACCAGAAATGATCCCTGAGTGCAGAGCCAGGAGTATACCCTGAGCACAGCCAGATGTGACCCAAAAACTAAAACATGAAAGACAAATTTCCAAGCCCAGAAGATGTGGCCAGTGAATCCAGGAGTGCTGGGAGATTGGTCACAATAGCTGTCGGCTACAAAACAAGCGACCCAACAAGACTTTACAGAAAACAATTGTTGCAGGGAGAAGAAATGGCATTGAACACTAAGGAAACTCACTGAGGACCGAAATCAAGTCATTACAAACTCTCAAAAAATTTAAAAGGAGGAGGAGGGGCATAGATGCAGATGGAAGGTGAAATGTGTTCTCTCTCTTATATAGGATATGAAGCATAGTAGGAGAACAACAAAGGCCCAAAGTCAATAATAAAGAGTAGAACTGGGCTCCAGTGGGATGCTTGGCACTGCGGTGCAGTAGAGGGAACAGAACAGGGAAGGGAACACTAAGAAAATGGGAGATGGAAATAGAGGCAAACTGGAGGGTGGGAGGGAGACTGGGAGCATTGGTGAGCACTCATGAAGGGACTGGTGTTGGAACATTCTATGGCTGAAAATTGTAAACAACTTTGCAACTCATGATTTTTAATTTTAAAGAAAAAGGGAATAAAAAGAAAGTGTAATGTGTCAGAGAAGAAAACTTGCGATAATCATGGTGACTTTGCCCGCCTGAGATCAAAAGGTTAAACTGGTTAGGAAGCAAGGTCTGGAGCATAATCTTCATATGTGGAAGGCCCTGGTTCAAGCCCCATGCATGTACCTGAGGACTGCCAGGAGTGACCCTAACCCCAGAGCTGAAGGTAGCCTCTGAGTACCGGCAAGTGTGACCCCCAACATGGAAGGAAGGAAGGAAGGAAGGAAGGAAGGAAGGAAGGAAGGGAGGGAGGGAGGGAGAGAGGGAGGGAGGGAGGGAAGGAGGGAGGAAGGAAGGAAGGGAGGGAGGGAGGGAGGAAGGGAGGGAGGGAGGGAGGGAGGAAGGGAGGGAGGGAGGGAGGGAAGGAAGGGAGGAAAGGAAGGAAAGGGATGGAAAGAAATAAAGAGAGAATGGAAGGAAGAAAGCAAGAATAAAAAAAGAAAGGGAGGAAAGAAGAAAAGAAGGAAAGAAAGAAAAAGAAAAAGAAAGAAGAAAGAAAGAAAGAAAGAAAGAAAGAAAGAAAGAAAGAAAGAAAGAACAGACAAGGAAAACATAAAGGGTAATTGATGTCTCTGAGGGTGAGGATCCAGAACTGAGACAGAAGAGGTATTCAGGATATAATACCCCCCAAAATCCACCCGATGAAGAAACAATGGCATCTGTGGCTCAAAGACCTACATTGTTTCGGGAACTGTGGGTGCAGAGTGTTCTCCATGGTGACATATTCTGGTGAAGCTATTCAAGCTCAAGGGTGGAAAAATATCTTTGGGCAAAAAGAGAGATCACTTCTAGGGCAGAGAAGTCAGGCTGGTCCAAGACTCTCACAAACAAAGACACCAGGCAGAGCCCTCCACAGAGGAGGAGCATCCCGGGCTCCGGGGGCCCCCTTCATCACAGGGCCCCTCAGGGAGCACCTCGATTCTCCAGCCTCTCCTACCACCCTGCTGATGGAGCACTTCTCTGGGCACGGGCCTCCTCGGCTGTGGCCACTCTTCAAGAAAACTCCCTCTTGCCTCCTGTCACAGCTGCTTCCTGCCTGTCTTCCTGTGCCCTCGTCCGACAGCTCACCCCACAGTCCCAGCAACTTGGCCCGCTCTGGCTACATCTGCGGCCGCGTCCTCTGGAAACACCTCCTCAAGCCCCGGCAGTGGGAAGGTGCAGACAGAAGGTGCTGCCCCGTGCTCTCTGAGGAGGCTTCCTGTCTGCCAGCCCTCGCCCCCTCCTCCTGCTCCGTGCCTCCCCCCCACTCCCCCAGTATCCTGGACCCACAGCAGGTCCAACTTCCAGGTGGGCATCCTCGGTCAGATCAATGGTTCCGCTCAGCTCCCTTCATGGCCCTGCCTCCCTCCTGACTCCTCAGCCACCTCTGTGAACTGGACGAGCGTTGAGCCCTGAGGGTCTTCCAACTCACCTTCTGGTCTTCAGTTTCTTCCTGGTCCCACTGACCCTTCCACAAATACCCCCTATTCACCTCCGTCTGAGAACCTCCATGCCCCTTCCTCACGGGGAAGAAGCCCCAGCCTTGCCTTGAGACTGAGCCCCCATCCTTGACTCCCTAGTCCCCCTTCCACACTGGCCACCCCAAGACTGGCCCATTCACGGGACACCTCCCCCAGCCCCTGAATCTCTCCTCTTGTCTAACTCCATCATCCTTCCAGGCCCAGGACTCCCCCCAACCTCCCCCACACACAGCCTTTCCTGCGGCCTTCTCTCAGCCCCACGAGTCACTCAGAACTGCCAGGCACCACGAACCCACGGGCTGGCTGTGTGGGCACCATCACAGCCTGTGGTTAGCGGTCTCTCTGTCCTTCCCCTTACTTCCCTTATACTGCTGCTTTAGCTCCACCATCAGTGCCATGATGGCAGCGGTTGTATCTCTATTCTTCCATCCCACTGAGCCCCCACGTGAGCTGTGGCAACGCCTGGGACTGCTCCCCAGTGCCTACCGCGTGGCATCCTCTTCCCCATCATCATGTCAGACTCCACACTCTCTCTGTTCCTGATGTCACATGGGGGGCTGCCCTAAAGCTAGGACCTGCTCGTCCTCCACACAGGCCCCCTGACCCCTAAGGAAGGGGTGGGGGGCGATGGCGGGCCTAGAATTGATGACTCATCACAACCGAGACAAACTGAGCAGAAACGCGCTTCCGTCTCCTGAACGGATCCCGCACATCCTAAAAAGGCCCTCCCGTTGATCGTCGATTTGCTTGAGCGGGCCCAGTAACGTCTCCATTGGAGACTTTGTTGTTACTGTGTCTGGCATATCGAATACTCTCGGTAGCTTGCCGGGCTCTCCGAGAGGGGCGGAGGAATTGAACTAGGGTCAGCCATGTTGGCCACTTGTAAGGCAAACGCCCTACCCGCTGTGCTATCGCTCCAGCCCTAGTTTGGAAAAATCACACCAGCGTTCCGAGGGCAGGAGCACTGCTGTTATTGAGCACTCACTCACCGGCATTCCCACAGCAATTAGTGAGAAACCCAAAGCAATTACACATGACCTCAAAGCCCTTAGTAATTATCCCCGTGAACTTACCAATCACTCAGAGCAATTAGCTGGGAGCTAATTTGCACTCTAAAGTTCCCACTGGGAAGGCAGAGTTAACCCCAGACCCCCATACCTGCCAGGGATGCTATATCTGTCAGGTGATCAACCCGATAGAGGCTTTGCCACACAGTCACAAGCAATGGGTTTCCCCTGCTTCTCCGGGCCTGGGAAAGGAGATGCATCGTTCCCACTCTGTGCCAAAGCATCGTCTGACTGTTCAAGGGGATGAAAATTATTGCAAGCCTTGACTTCCGTTCCTCAGACTGTGGTGTTTTCTACTCTATCTGCACAGTGAGAAAAGAGTGGCCTGCCTCCTGGTTTCAGGCCTCTGAGTGACTCTCAGAGCACCTGGACAGCACAAAGGTCATCGTGGGCCCTTTGGGGTTCATGTGGGATGAGCACCACCCTCTCCAAAAGGGAAACTGACATGAGGAGGGCCTGCAAAGCCGAGAGAAGAGCTGGGCAGTGAGGCTGCCGCGGGGAGGGCAGAGGGCGGCACTCACAGCACCACCAAGCTGGAGAGGTTCTGGAAGGCGCACTCGGGAACGTGGCTGATGCGGTTGAGGGCCAGCGTCATGGCCTGCAGGGCGGGCAGGTTGTTGAGCGCCCTGACGGGGATCTCCGTGAGCACATTGTCATCCAGCCACAGGTGGCGCAGTGAGGACAGCCCCTCAAAGCTTCTCTCCGGGACCAGGGAGATGAGGTTGGCATCTAGGCGCCTGGTGGGAGAAGAGGATGGGGAGGATCAATCCAGGGCGAGATGGAGACCAAGCGTCAGGATGAGGCGGCGGGAGAGTCAGCCTGGACCCCAGCAGGGCCTCTGAGCTGCCCTAGGGTGTTGGCTGTGAGCAGCCACCTCTATAGGTGCTCAAGTTTGTCTCCATCCACCCACAGTTCTCCATCCGCTGACGCCTCTTGCTGTTGATGCCTCCAAAGCTTCTTCTCAGACTCAAGGTTGGACCCAGAGCCCAAAGTGGACACCAGTACTTCTCCCCAAATTGTCAGGCTTCTAGACCTTTGTCTGTGCCCCTATTCCAGAGTGACTTGTCCTTCCCTGTCCTCTCTATAGTGATAGCTGCAGATACCCCATCACCAGCAATGAGGGAGGGGGAGCTCTTTCTCTGGATTGGACCAAAGCCCCCCCCCCATAAAAACCCTTCCTGAGAACTGCCCACTCCTCCTCTCATCAAGGTATCAGTCATTTAATTTGTCATTGTTGTTGTTTATTTATTTTCTTCTTATTTGGGACCCAGTTGTCTGAGGGATCTCCTGTCTATGTCCTGGGACCTCTTGCTCGGTGGGTGCCCTCTGGGTGTCTCTGTAACCGAGATGTGTCACCAGTTTCAGGCCTCTGAGGACTCTCAGAGCACCTTCTCTCACCTATCAGGTGGGTTACCCAGGAAGAAGACAATCGGAGTCAAATGCGATACTGACTTTTTGATGCAAGTTCTAGCTGGCCTCAACTGCGCAGGGGAACAAGGAGATTGCTTTGAACCTGTGTGCCAGCCACACTGTTCTCCCTACCCCATTTACAACTCTCTTCTGCCTTGCTGATCTGGGACTTGGGCTGGAGCCCCACCACCCTACACAGCTGACACCACAAGGACCTGTGAGCTGCCCAAGACCCCTGGGTCCACGCCCAGGCCTCATGAACTCTGTGTGAGGCGTGGCACGGGGTCATAGGGCACCTCCACCAGGAGACCCCAGCCTTCTCTCTCTTCCCTGAATTCACCTTGGGAGACTTGGTTGGACAAGCCCACTGGCCAGCATGGTCCTGAAGAAGGATGATGAGGAAAAACCTCCCACCCACACCTAGGCTGACTGAGGCAGCAGAGATCTTCAGGGAGCTCCCCCTACTGGTGAGGCCTGGCCCTTCAGACGGGCCCCCGGGGCCGTAGCCCTTCCTGGCTGGCTTAGCAGGAGCACCTGCGAAGCTTTGGGAAAATACAGACTCCCCTCCCAGGCCCCTCCCCCAGGCGACTCTGGGTCAAGAGGTCGGGGGTGGGAGGGTGTCTGTTTCCACAGGACATTCCAGATGTGTCTAAGAACAGACAGGCTCAGGATGAGTTGGATAAACATCACTACGAAGAAGACAGTGTCCGGCCCTTGCTCATGGACTCCATGGGGAAGCCAGCCTGACAGTCCCAGCACAGAGTGACAGCAGGACAGGACAGGCGGCCTGAGCCCAGGAGATAGAGAGTTTGCACGGAGGCCTGGGGATGGACCAAGAAGGAATTCAGCAGGGCAGCGGCTGGGGAGGAATTCCAGGCACGGGAAGGGCACGTGGGAAAGAGAAGGGACAGCCTCATGGGGACCCAGCATCTCAGGTGGGGCCTCTGAGTGGGCGGAAGGTGGAAATCCCCTGAGCAACGCTGGGCCAGGCATTGGGGAGCCACTGGAGGATGTTTTTTGGGAGGGAGATTGCCTCCCAGGCAGTGCTAAGGAGTTTCAGGGGATCCTCTGGTGGTGCTGGGCTGGTAGCTCCATGCAAAGGACCAAGGATGTGGTGCTATTCAGACAATCCTGGGCTGTGCCCCACGAAGCTCGGGAAACCATGTGGCACTGGGGATCAAACCCAGATGTGTGCCCTTTAGCCACCATCCTGTCTGCAGCCCCATGCCGGAGATCAGTGAGCAAAAAGAAGGCATGGCCAGGTTCCTGCATCAGAAAGACCAGCTGGTTTGGGTGAGTGGCCACAGTGGAGGTAGATGGTCAGCAAGAAGACAGCCAATAGAGACAGCGCCACCTGGTCCAGAAAGGGACAGCCCTGCCAGTGAGGCGTGAGATAGGCTATCATCCCACACCTCTCCCGTGCCCTCGCGCCCTATCCTGCTATGCTCCCTGCTGCCCTGGGCACCTCCTTTGCCAGGGAGAGTCAGAAATCTTGGGAGTCTCAGATCACACGCCCGAGAATGTTCTTCCTGCATACAAAGTGTGCCTCCACCGTTCCTGTGCAGGGACCTAGGGGGGACAGGCCAGTGTCCTCCCATTCCCTCTGCTGCCTGCTGGGAACCCAGCACCCACCCCCCACCCCCACATGCAGGAAGCAGGGCTCTGGGGATGGCCTCCAGGGAGGTGGGATGGAGGCCAGGACGCCTGGTAAGGGAAGTGTCATGAGTGAGGGGCCAGTGTGGACGGGAGAGTGGGCACTGACTTCCAGTCTCTGCGAAGTCACTGGGGATGGCGCCGCATGGGAGGTGGGGTGGGGGCTGAGCCTGGCTCCTCTCACAGCCTGGGCCTCACTCTCTGTCACTGCCTCAAAAAAATGGAATAACTGACTTTTTGTTGCAAGCTCTAGCCAGCCTCAACTGCGCAGGGGAACAATCCCTATACTATAGTAAATAAGGAGTAACTTTGGGGACCAGAGAGATGGTGCAAGGAATAAGGTGCTCCAACCCCACCAGGAGTGATCCCTGACCACTTACAGAGTCAGGTGACAATGCCCCTTTCTTCTCTAACTCCTGGGCTGGGAGCACGGAACCAGCGACAGGCACCCACAGTGAACCCTGAAACACTGATAAGAATCATCCTCCTGGGGCTGGAGTGATAGCACAGAGGGTAGGGCATTTGCCTTGCACACGGCCGACCCAAGTTCAATCCCTGGCATCCCATATGGTCCCCCAAGCACTGCCAGGAGTAATTCCTGAGTACAGAGCCAGGAGTAACCCCTGAGCATTGCTGAGTGTGACCCAAAATGAAAAAAAAAAATCATCCTTCCAGTGGGACCATGGCCTCTGAGAAGCATGCCCTGTTTTCTAGCAAGGACGAGCCTGTGTGTGGTGCTGGCTCTGAGGCAGGAGGAACTGCCCAATTCTCAAGGGATGATGACCCCTGCCTGAGCGGCAGAGGAAGTTTCTCTAAGCTGGACAAAAATGGGCCTGGGCTGGGGAGGAAGAGATCTTTTTTTTTTCTCTGTGCGCTTAGGTGCATGGGAATTATCTAATCCCTATGTGTGCCACACGCCTGCATGTGAGACCTCTGACCCAAGCCCATCACTGAATTTTGTGCATCCCGGGGTGGGGGCCTGAGCAGGGCCACCTTACAGGCCAAGCCAGAAGTGACCATGCGTAGGACAGGGCCACACTGGGCCTGGCTGCTCCCACTTGCCCCCCAGCCGCTTCCTGCTCTGCCCTCTCCACCCGCCCGCAGCCCCAGACCGAGGCTAGGGAGGGCATGTTCCTGCCGCCTGCCCCCACACTAGAGACAGGGACACTGAAGGACAAATTGACACATGCGGAAGGTGAGATAAACACATGGAAGAAAGGGGTCGGGCCTGAATCCAAGTTTGGGGTGAGTGGACTCCGGGGGTCAGGTAGTGTTCTCAAGTCAGCTGGGTGTGCACTTCCTGGCATCTGTGCTCAAAATGCAAAATCATTAATCCAAAAGGATCTGTGCACACCTGTGTTCATCGCTGAACTAAAGACACTAGCCAAGACATGGAAACCAGCCAAGTGCCCAGCAACGGATGAGCAGATCCAGAAGTTGTGGTCTATAGACATAGTAGAATATTCTGCTGTCCAAAGAAGAACAAAGTCCTGCAATTTGCAGCAACATGGATGAACAAGAGGCTATAACGGTGAGAGGGGTCTGTCAGAAGGAACGGATACAGAATGATCTCTCATTTGTGGGCCGTAAAGATACACAGCAAACTGACAACAAAGGGCCAAAGCAACCAATGGGGGAACCAAGGCACACAGTTGAATCAAGGGGTGTTGAAAGGAAGGGGTGTTGGGGTCTTTGGGGGATGAAAGTGGGAACATTGGTAATGGATGTAGGGTTGTAATTATGTGCAGGAGAAACCATCATTAACAACATTGTAAATCATAAAACCTCAGTCAATTAAAACTAACAATTTTGTAAAAATAAAATAGGAAAGGGGGCTGGAGTGATAGCACAGTGGGTAGGGCGTTTGCCTTACATACGGCCAACCCGGGTTCGGTTCCCAGCATCCCATATGGTCCCCTGAGCATCACCAGGAGTAATTCCTGAGTGCATGAGCCAGGAGTAACTCTTGTGCATTGCCAGGTGTGACCCAAAAAGCAATAAAATAGGAAATTAAAAAAAGCCGGCTGAGTTCGGGGGTAATATGTGAACCCAGGATAACAAAGTTGGACTAGCAAATGAAAAGACCTGTTTTACCCTTAAATTTGCACTGTATCACTATTCGCAGATGATATGATACTCTACTTAGAGAACCCAATAACCTCCACCAAAAAACTCCTAGAAACAATAGACTCGTATAGTAAAGTTGCAGGTTATAAAATCAATACCCAAAAGTCCATGGCTTTCCTATACGCAAACAGTGAGAGAGAAGAAAGCAACATGAAAAAAACAATCCCGTTCACAATTGTGCCCCAGAAAATCAAGTACCTAGGAATCAGCTTAACTAAGGAAGTAAAGGACCTGTACAAAGAAAACTACAAAACGCTACTTCAGGAAATAAAAGAGGACATGAGGAAATGGAAAGATATCCCCTGCTCATGGGTCGGGAGACTTAACATTGTCAAAATGGCAATACTACCGAAAGCATTGTATAAATTCAATGCAATCCCTATAAGGATACCCATGACATTCTTCAAAGAAATGGAGCAAACACTCCTGAAATTTATATGGAACAATAAGCCCCCACGAATAGCTAAAGCAATTCTTGGGAAAAAGAAAATCGGAGCAATCAAACTCCCTAACTTCAAACTCTTCTACAAAGCAGTAATAATTAAAA